TCATTTAATAAATATAGACAGGATCTTTTCTAAATAAGCAATAGAATACAATTTAAATAGCATAACAAAATGGCCTCCAACGTGTAAAGCTTTGAAAAATATTTCTAGTTGGCAAATTTGAAAGGATAGGAGTAGACGAGCAGATATTTGAAAGTTTATATGCCGTGGATAAAGTGAAATATTATGTAAAATTTGAGGACATAAAGATTTATATATTTTTTTAAGATACAATTTACCATAATTGATTTATTCGTGATATTGACAATTTATAGGTTACCATAATTGATTTATTTGTGTGATATTTACATTTGATAATTTTACCATACTTGATTTATTTGATTGATTTTGAGATTTGATATTTTACAATTTGATTTATTTGTGGGATACTGAAATTTGATACTCGTACGCAAGAGTTATTACATTTGAACAAGAAAAGTCCCGTTTGTTGCAACAGACCAGTAGAATTTTATATTTGGCGGGGATAAAAACATAATAAATGCCAAACACAAGAAACAAGAGCAAAGAGAACAAAAAACAAGAAGATAAATCAGAACAGGAAGAATATTCAGACCAGGAAGACGTATTAGACACAACAGTAATGGAGACAGAAAAACAAGAATCGGGAATAGAAAAATTATTAGCAATGATGCAATTACAGACACAACAAATACAAGAATCAACAAAACAGGTCATACAAGAGAACCAAAAAGAAACATCACTAAAAATCGTAGAAAACCAACGGAAAACAAGACAAGCAATAGAACAGAAATTAGAAGAAAATGATAGAAAAATGGAAAAGCGTTTGGACAAATATGAAAATGAAGTAAAAGTCTGTTTAGAAAAAGTTAGTGAAACAGAGAGGAAACTAGAGATGCAGAGAGAAGAAATGGAAACTAAAATGAAGGATATTAAGGCTGTCCAGAAAAAGGAACTGGAACAGTTAGAAGAAAAATTTGAAATGGCGTTACTAGAAGACAGGAAAGAAATGGAAAGGAAACTTAAGCAAAATGAAAAACAAATTGCAGAGATGGAGATAAGAGGAGTAGAAAGAAAGGAAGTTATCGTACATAGCACAGAAGACGTAAAAGTACGATTTGGCGGGGATATAAGGAAACTACACCCAGTGCCTTTTATAAATAACCTAAAGAAAAAAGTCACATACATAGGACCGTTTGCAACAGCAAAGGAAACCATCCGAAACCATCTCAAAGAAGAGGCAAATCTTTGGTTTGTCAGCAAGGAAGAAGAATTTGACAATTGGCAAGATTTTAAGAGAAGATTCTTAAATTATTTCTGGGGAAAAATCCAGCAACTACAAGTAAATAAAGAGTTACAAAATGGAAAATACCATGAGAGGATGGGCGTATCAGAAAAGATGTACGCATTACAACTCTAAAATAATGCAAAACATTTGCAATACAATTATTCATCAGAACAATTGGTAGAGTTGATATCGCGACACTTTGAAGATACCTTGGAAGACCACATAAATCTCCAAAATTACAAGGACATTGACAGCTTATGTCAATTTTTGCAAATGAGAGAATCACGTAGGCATGAAAGAAGAGAAAGAAGACCGCAAGAAAATTATAGACAAAGAGAAAACCAAGAATATAGAGATAGAGGTCAAAATTTTAGAAGAGATTATCCAAGACGAGAATTCATACCTAGACGGGGATACGAAAATAGACCGAACGGAAGAGAGAATTATGAACCCAGAACCCAGAGATGGAATGAAAACAGGGATCGGGAAAATCAGAGTAGAAATAACCGCCCATACCAAGGAAACAGATACAATAACCCGCGGAATGAACAGGAATCTCGCGGTAACCGATACGGGAATGATAGACCAAAAGAGAACAGAAGAGAAATAAATAATATGCAAAGAGAAGAAAATGAATATGAGAGAGAAGATGACGGGCGAGAAAACACAGAAGAACAACAGGCGTGTTTTCAAGAAGGCGCTCACTAAAAACGAAGAAACAAACAGGAATTTTTTGTCACCCCAAGGAATTTATTAAACTGGCAGGAAACAATGAAAAGAGAAATGGAGTTAATTTAAAATTTGTGGATGGATTTATAAATGAGAAACCAATTAAAATTATGATAGACACAGGCTCTGAAATAACACTGGTCAACAGAAAATTAATCGAAGAAGTAAATTTAACAAGTCTAATTTATAAAATACCTAAGGTGAATTTAGTGGGCGCAAATAAACGGACATTGGCAACAATAAATGAAGGTATACGAGTAATGGTACGATTGAAAAAAAAATATGTATGCACTTCAATGTGTAATAATGCCGAATATGTCACATGACATGATTGTAGGCGTTGACGAATTAACGGAAAAACATGTAGTGATCGACTTCAAAACCAATACGATGAAAATAACAAAGGAAAAAGAAGAAGAACAGGAAAAGGAACAAGAGAAACAAATTACGGACGAATCAGAGAAAGAACAAACGGTGGAAATGAACCTGGTGACGAAGAAAGGAAAAGGAAGAAAGAGGGGAAAAGGTCAGAAAAAGATCAAAGAAAAAAAAACCTGGGATTCCTCAAAAGATGAGACGAGCTCAGGAGAAGAAGATGGAAAGATTTTGACAAGAAATGAAAGCAAAACTTGGGATTCCTCAAAAGAAGAGACGAGCCCAACAGAAGAAGAAACAAAGGAAATGAAAGAAAAGGAAAAGGATTCAGTTGAAAAGAACATATGGGATTCCTCAAAAGAAGAGACGAGCCCAACAAAAAAAACAAAGGAAAATGAAGAGGACACAATGGAGACAGTGGTGTTTGAAGAAGACACGGAGTAGACGGTGAATATGTGCGAAGAATTTGATGGGAGAGACAAAAAATTGATATTTGGAGAAGGCAAAGAAAATTATTTGCGCAAAATTGATGCCTGTTTTCGAAGGGCCATACATAGTAAACAACGAAGATGGAGTAAACAGCTATGAGTTGAAACATATGGATTCTGAAAAGATCAGAGGTATTTATAATATCCATGATGTATATAAATATCACGAATGAAGATTTAAATTTGTATAAAGTAGATAGTAGGATAGGATAATACGTAGCATAAGTACAGCTAGCATACAGAAAGTGCGTTTTAGTTTGCCTCGAGAAAATTTAGTTGCATAGATTGATAAATTTTATCGATTACAAAGACGGGGATTTGTTGTACTTTTGAATGTCCATTAGCAATAAAAAACCGATATACAAATTTTATTACTTAAATAAAAATTAAAATTATTGATATTTCATAAAGACACGGCATATAAATTTTCAAACATCCTGTATAAGACAAAATATGTATTTTAAGTTGTTTAAAGAATTGTTCATTAGGCCTCAGAGACAAGACTTTCAAATATTATCGATAAGAAATTTAAATAAGTCGGTTATTGTGGAATGGATTTACCCAGAATAAAAGTGTATATAGACAGTGTTTAAACAATAGACCGGGATTTGCGATGGTTTTTCTCCCCGAAAGATTATATCGGTAAAAGTTTATTAACAAAAAACATTGAATTGAGAAACAGGTATCGTTTGTAGCTATTAGTAAGAAATATTTGTAAAGCAGATAGATTTAGTTAGAATAATTAAAGAATGTTGTTTTCTGGAATTACCCGAATGACGTTTTATAAAGAGAGTTGGTTGGTAACGATATACGTCACAAAGGTGGATGATTTTTATTGGTCAATTTTTGAATGCAATGGAGGTAGTGGTTTTGGCTATGAGATAGGAGAGAGGAAAAAAGTTAGTTAGTCAGTTTTCATCGCCCAAGAAGGAAGGAGCTTTGTGGTTTGTGTTTGTTTGAAGTCCCGAAGACGTAATTTACCGGGTGTGTTTATTTGCTGTGTAAAAGCTGATCAGTGTGAGGAACGGGCTACAGAGAGATAGAAAAACCAAAGGGTATAAGAATATTAATATCAGACGAAGCCGGAAACATTTGAAGTTATAAACAGGCGCGGAGATTCGCTCAAAAGGAGGCTGCATAGAATTACACGAGTTGTTGGGTTGCAGATACAAGGACAGATAGGAGAAATGTGTACGTCATCTGGACCACAATAGGAGCAGAAGCAGAGAAAGGTTTTTTTTATGGCGTGGCCATAGAATTACAACGGCAGAGAACGAAAGGTCAGTCAATTTTCATTAGAGCAGGAGTGTGGTTTTCATTTATTAATTAAATAAATTGAATAAATAATAGAGACAGTTAATTTTGCGATCATTCAAAGAAAAAAATTATAAAGAGAGCTTAGTTATAACACATATTAAAAATCAATGTAAAATAACATTTGGGTCCATGATAGAAAACAACTTCTCATATATTTAAAGTATTATATTGCAAATATTACAGCATTGATTGTCATATAAAATTTCATTAAAATAAAGGACAACTCACATATAGTTCAGTTGAAATTCTGTGTATTTTATTCAGGTCATATTACCTATCCCAATTAGGAAGCCAATTGGAAAATATTTTGAATCCACGATCAAAGGTAAATAGTACAAGTTAAATAGCCTGAGATTGTAATTAATTAATGCTGATTTATTGTGATTAATTGGAGATTAGATCATTTAATAAATATAGACAGGATCTTTTCTAAATAAGCAATAGAATACAATTTAAATAGCATAACAATATATATATATATATATATATATATATATATATATATATATATATATATATATATATATATATACATATATATATACATATATATATATATATATACATATATATATATATATATATATATATATATATATATATATATATATATATATATATATATATATATGTATATATACATATATTTATTAAATTTAATGGTAGCAAACTGAACATAAAAAAATAGATTGCATCATATCTGTTCAATATTTCTCGGAACAAGCATCTTTTCCCAATAAATTGGATTATTCTATATACGAGAAATAAGCTCAAATGATATAGCCTGTATATTCCGACTGATAAAATCGTTAATTAGCTCTGCTTACCTGACATTTTCGTGCTTTTGTATGTAAATTTTATGAAACTGTTCCTGTTTTGGTTGTCCGGCGATATCAGCTTTCATTTCCATTGCAACGTGACGTGGCAAAACTGAAAGCAGTAAACGTTCCTAAAACAAAACATGTACATTTAAAATGACACTTTGTGAAGTTAAAATTTTAACATGTCTGTAGCAATCCAATAATGTTATACTACTTAAACGTTTACAGCTTTGAAAAAGGAGGGATTTATAAAAAGCGCTCATGGAATTTAGTTTTAAAAATATTATTGTATAAAAAATGTTAGGACATAAATATGATGAAAAATATAAAAATACAAGGAGTACAAAGCAAAGCAGAATGTATCTACTACTGATGAGCTTTCAAAACCTATTTTTTTATTGGTACCCCATTTTGCCTACTTAAAGTACGTCGTACCGTGTTTAAATTTAACTTTCAAAAAAAAGGGCGTGTTAAAAAAGTTACCATGGCAACATCAACAGTTTTAAATATTTATCTGACCTGACAGGACTACATAACTTGTAACGTCCAATAAATAAAATATAAATACAATATTACTAATTATTGCAAAAGCTTTAGTCAAATATTTGGAAATCTTAAAATCTTTTAAATGAATGTGAAAAGTACAGTTAGTGTTGTTTGAAATATTTACACTTCCATTTTTTTAAGCAGAGCAAATACTGTTTAAATTAACACTACCGACATTCTCGGAAGCCAATGGGTTTGTACTTCTATTATGGCACACAAAATAATGTTTAAAACATTCTTTTCATTCTTCTTTTAAGCAATATGCAACCAGTAATAACAATTAATCGGATGTGACAGGTTGCAAATAAATTTTTGTTTTTCTCATTTCCATAATAACGAAAGGTATACTGATGTAGAGTGAAGGTATAAACCCTTACATTGTAATGTCATATATAATATCTTAAATCAGCAGTTAAGTTTGGAATACATACATTTATTTTTTATACACAGCCTTGTATTATATCACGTAAATTAAAAGTCCGATAGGGTAACCCTGAGAGAATATATAAATCGTGAAAGAGATTTATGATTGCATGATTATTGTATATTTACCCTTTGAGATGTGTACATAACGTAACAAACTTCTCGTAGACCTGTAATAATGTACGTGTAGAAATCTAAATAAAATATAGTGGAAAGCTAGTGATTTTCTTGAGTTCGAGAGTTGGCCCTTTTTATCCCTTAAGGAACAACGTGACACTGATGTACATCCCAAATTCAATAATTTTATATTATTAGCTCTTATTTCAATTTTTTGTAGTAATGGTACATGATTTTAAAGTGTACCAATAATAAAAATCGTGTAAGGTATTCGTAGATATCTGGTCTTTTAAACACTTACCCTATTTCTAGCACTCCGGCTGTGCAGTCGTGCTCGAAAAATCGCGCGTGTTATAAAGACCTCAATATCCACTTTTACTTTAATGTACTATGATGTTCATATTTTAAAAGTAAGTTAAGCAAATTAAGATTATTATATCTAAATGTAATAGTTGGTTTGTTTCTACTGAAAATAAATCAAACGGATCATAGTTTTTTTATAATTAATCTTGATATACAGATATCAAAAATCACAATGACATAATAAAAAATAAAAATTATTATATTTCCACCTAATGCATTGGGCAAAATAAACAGTCAACCAAGTGATATAAAAAACATTTTAAAAAAGCTACATCCACCCAAAAATAAAAATTTATGTGTCCGAGAGTTTTTTGGTATTTGTTAAATCAGTATAAAAACAAACTTGGTGAAATTTTATATATATATATATATATATATATATATATATATATATATATATATATATATATATATATATATATATATATATATATATATATAATATATATATATAAGGGGGTTGAGGTAATTGGGTATACAGCTGATTGAAAGCCAAGTGCACTCCGTTCAACAGTTCATTATATTTCGCCAATTTTCATTGGCATCATCAGATGAGAGCTACAATTATTTAAAAACATGGTAAAATACATTCAATAATTGTTTGTTGTTTATATCTTACTTGATTGAGGGTAACGGAAGTGTGATATATTTTAATAACATCAAAATGGTTTGTTGGTACAATGTGGATTGTAGCTATCTTCGACATGTAACATTTAGTTGTATAATTTACGTTTACAATTAAAATATTAGAAACAATTGCAATTCAAATTAAAAATAAGATAGACACAACATTTAGTTGGGTGACTGTCATTAAGGTAAGTACCAGAAATACCAAATATCGAATGTTACTGATTTACTTATGCCAGAAGATAATTAGTTCCATGGTGTTGATGTAGTAGCTTTTTATTTGATTGAGATTAACTGTAAAGTTGTGTTTTAGTTGACAAGTTTTGAAATTACATTTTGTGTTAAGTACATTAAATATTTAATAGTCATGTGTGTCTATTTATAAAGTTTGCTTTTTGATGTGTAATAAATAAGCATAAATCTCACCCAGATGCTCTACATCCGATTTCTTATTTACTAAATTATGCATTTGAGTGATAAAGGGCCATCTCGAAGAAGAGTCTTTTATTGAGATTATTTTCCATTGCAAGAATCTTTGTTTCACTGTAGTTCATTATATGGTGTCCATCATATACGTGTTTTGCAAGGGGAACATTTATCAGAATATAATCTGCTGTCACTATTGTGGGAAGTGATACGACTTTTTAGGTGTCTGTTAGTTTGGCCAATATATTGTTTGTTACAACTTCCGCAAGGAATACGATAGACTATATTGGATAAATGATCCAGAGGTGTTTTATCTTTTAGTTTAGTGAATTTTGAATTAATGTTTAACACTGTGTAATTGGCGATTTTTATGTTATTGTCAACAGATTTAAAAATTAGTGTAAGTTTCGGTATTGTATGTATGGTAATCTAAAGTATTTAAATGAAGTTAAATTAGTGTTAGTGGTTGTGTCTATTGTAGGTGTAGGGTTTTGTGGTGTGTGGTTAGGGATGGTTTGTGTTACAGATAATGTAGTATTTGTTGTATTGCATAGTATTTTAGTAAGTAATGTATTTGGGAACGAATTGTCTAGAAAGAGTTGTTGCAGGATTTTTAGGTTTTTATAATAAAGCGATTGATCTGCAATCTGTAAAATTATGTTTTTCATTTGTTTTATAAAATTAATTTTTGTGCTATGCTTATCATATGACCAATAGTTAATGTATCTTCCGGAGCTAATAGGTTTCCTATACCAATCTGTTGTTATTACGTTGTTATTGTTACGTATTAGTCTGGTGTCAAGGAATGGGACTAACCGATGTTTGTCTTCTGATTCCACTTGGAGGGTGCCGGTTTACAACATCCCTTCCATGGAGAGGCTTGTATGCAACAAAGTCTCTTTCAGCGGCTTTGTTCTTGCTGTAAGCCCAATTAGTCCGCTAGCCTTCGACAGCTCAGTAGAGAAACTAAAATGGACTTTCAAAGTTGCTTTTATCTGGCCTGTTGAATTTATATAGTGAAATAAAACAATTACTTGTTTAGAAAGAAACTGTAATTGAAATAAGAAAGGGCAAGAAATAGAGCTTATAAAATTTGAGTGTGTAACTTATCGTAGGAACTTAATTTGAATATTACAATTTGCGAACGAAAGCGAAAACACCATAACACTTATTCACATATTACGGCTTCCCGGTCAATTGCGTAAACTGCAACGTGGAGAATCTAGCCCCGCTGGAATATTTTTTTGTTTATGCATTTTGAAAAGCCGGTCTGTCGTCAAGTAGGCGCTGTGGGCGGGGATTAACATTCTCAGAAACAAGGTCTAGGTAGACTGGATTTATTTAGGTAACCGACGCGAAAATAGAATTATTTGATACAAAATAGAATTATTGGTTTGGAGATATATTTTTCCAACATTCCCCCCCGGCGTTAGAGCCTTGTGGTCTAACCTACTCTTCTTTATCTTGCATAGAGAGAACTGAAATTTTAGTGATTGCCCTTGTAAATTGGCCATTGATGGTCTTTAACTTGACCACTCTGACTTTGCCATCTTGACCGGGCATTGTATCAACCACCCGCGCTAGAGGCCATTTTAGAGGAGGTACATCGTCCTCTCTCAGAAGAACTAAGTCATTGACTTTTATGTTATCCCTTGGTCGGGACCATTTTGGAGAGTTTTGTAAGCGGTTTAAGTAGTCAACAGACCACTTTTTCCAGAAACTTTGTTGTACCTTTGCAATTTGCTGAAACATGGATAATTTATTTTGCGGGATATTTTCTAAATTTTGCTCAGGATGCGCAGTCAGGCTGGAGCCTATTATAAAGTGTCCAGGACTGAGAAAAGTGTAATCCGAAGGGTCGCTGGACATGACACAGATAGGCCTTGAATTCATCCCGGCTTCAATTTGAACCATGACAGTATAAAACTGTTCGAAAGTGAAAGAAGAAGAGCCTATTAGTCTACGCATATGATATTTAGCGCTTTTTACTGAAGCTTCCCAGATCCCAGCCCAATGAGGAGATCTAGGGGGAATAAACTTCCATGAGATTTGATTTTCAGAAAGGTATTCCACAATGGTTTGAGAATTTGACTTATTTTGAAAGAATTTGTATAAGTCATAGAGTTGGTTTCTTGCACCAGAAAAACATGTGGCATTGTCACTGTAAATGACGGTTGAGTTACCACGTCGAGAAATGAACCTTTTGAGAGTTAATAGAAAGGAAGAAGTTGTTAGATCAGAAACAACCTCAATATGCACAGCTTTGGTCACCATGCACACGAAAATGGCTATGTATGCCTTGATTTTTGGAGCTTTACGTAGTGAAGAAGATTTTAACAGAAAGGGTCCACCATAATCTACACCTATTTTTTGTAAAGGTCTTGTTGTAATAGACAACCTATCTTCAGGTAAGTTACCCATTAGCTGTTGTGCAGGAGTGCACGAAAATCGAAAGCATGTGGTGCAGGTTTGAGAAAACTGTTTGAGCACCAGCATGTCCCAATCTGAGATATTCATTTTTAATGATAAGATTGACGGTATGATTTTTGGATGGAAGCAGTATCGGATGTTTTTGCAAGTAGTCTATGTCAGGGCAGTTTGTAAGTCTGCCTCCAACTTTAAGAAA